CTATTAGTACTGTATTTGTACTATTACCGGTGTTAACAGTGCTTAGTCCAGGAGTATTCGTAAATACTATACACTATATACTACTTTATAATACGAAATAGTCTACCTAAATGTTTGTAGTCTTTTACCAAAATAAGTAAATAAATTTAATATAAATTAGAAGTGTAACAGTCTTATTATATATTGAATTGTAGCTCTAACATTCATCTGAAAGTAAATTCAATAAAACATAGAAGAAAAAACAATTAGAAATTAGAAAAGTTGATGGTGATAAACTATGTACAAAGCTATATCGAAATAATAGTATATCGTAGCACTGTCATACTGCAATATAGTTGAACGCAATACATATGTAACATGTAAACGTAAATATACCAAATAAAAACTCATAACAAAAAATCGTGAATTGTATTTTTTACTTCTGCTGTTCGAGTCACGGTAACATTTGTCAGTGACATTCAAAGGTCACTTTCAAGAATAAATGCGGGCCTGGGCGTTTATAAAAACTTTGAGTTTTGTTTAAATTTGAACGTTCATGACCCCATTATAATTTATGCACATTATTTTAGAATATTTTCAAAAGTCACTGTTGATTTGGATCCTTTTGTATTTTTGTAACGAAGCGTGAATGTAAATAATTGTGCCATCAGAAATTACATGATATGTATTTAGTTTTTATGTGAAGTGATTTTTAAGTTCATACATGCCAGTAGTAATTTTTTTATTTTTTAACTTAAAGAAAGCTTATATAACGCGCTGAGCTTATTCATAATTCGATAAAATACCGTACATCAATAAACTCTGTCATGAACAAATATTAATTTATTTTCGAGGTTTTCTTGTAATTTATCCAATTATTGTCCAAAATTATGTACATAATTGAAACTAATATATATATATATATATATATATATATATATATATATATATATATATATATATATATATATATATATATATATATATATATATATATATATATATATATATATAGAATAATCAATTATTTACATGGTTGAAGAATTCTTAAAACTCAAACTTGACTTAAAATCAAAATGACTTTACAAAATCCTGAAAAGGAGTTTAATGCATCATATTTTTTTGCATCGTCATGTGTCAAGTTTTTCATTCAAACCTAACAGTGACTTCATCCATTATGAATATACGAGTATGAGTCAGATGCACAGTCTCCTGGAATTTGTACATTGAAAGCAGTTGCACTCGCATGGCAACTTAATCAAATAATTTTTCTAAGTTTACGTGCCAATATAATAATATAACTGTGTAATTTAAATTACAATTATACAATTAGACAAATTTTTAGAATTAACTAAACATAATAATGTTTAGCTTATGTTTGCCCGCTCATTACTTATTTAGATTTTACCTAATATCTAATAATAATAATTTTGTTAACTGTATATAGTACCTTTTAATGATATAAGGTAGCTAGAATTTTCAATGACATCAATTGATATACATAGATATTTTGAACAGAGCAACATCATAAATTATATTACAATTACAGATTAAATTAATTTCACGAATTACAATACTCACAAAAAAAATTCAATTCAACCTTTTAATTGGCTTTCTGTTGTTATATATATTTTATTATTATTATAACTTTAAGCTTTCGTCAATACAAACAAATGAAGAAATGAATAAAAATTTTTCATAAGGTATTTTTTTATCTGTTACAAACTTATTTATGATTTGTTTTTTTTTCTGTTTTTTTTATAATAAATTATCTGTATACTTTTTTGTATACAAACCAGCATATCGTTTTACTAACATTTCGTTACAATATATAAGGAATCAATATATGTTATCTATAATCTAAGATATTATCAATATTTTAATCTTACATTTTATGGCGCGTGTTTAATATTCATAATATTATCTACTAATGTAAAAATAGATATAGCGTGCACTTAAATAACAATATCTACCTATTGATCGTTTGTAACGTTCGGCAGGTAACATCCCAAATCCCACAACGACGGTCGGAATTTTATATCAATCGAACCAAATAGCTTCTTTTTCCTGGAATTATTTTTTCTTGAACGCTTCCACTCTGCGTCTGGGAATCATTTTCGTCCGTCATGGACTTTGTACAATCCATTCTCAGTTTTCTTTGCTTACGACATAAATCTTTGTGAACACACAATATATTTGCTTTTTCTGTTAAAATGTCATAAATCTACAACTTTACAATTTCGTACTAAAAAAAAGAGTCATTATAATGGGACTTCATCCGTCCGTCTGTCACAAATATATATCAAAAACAAGTAATGTTATCGATTTCAAATAGCTTTTTTTGCTGATTCAATACTGTAGGGACCATACAGATGTAAAAAACTTTAAATATATTTGGTGCCACTTAGAATAAGAGGGTTGGCTCAAAAGATCAGCATTATGATAAAATGAGATACCACACACCTCTTACGCATCCTAAGAATGATACAAGAATACAAGTGACTACGAGAAAATCAATTTAACAGTGCAAGAAAAGAAAACTCCTACACCGAGGCAGCTTATCAGTAAAGCTGTACTAGTCCACTTCGGAGCTTTTGCCAGTAGTTACCATGCTTTTCGTAAGAGGCGACTAAGGGAAATTGAAGGTCGAGTAAAGGGCAGCAGCGTCCCTGTTAAAACATCACCGAAGATTAATTGCGGTTGCTAATCCACCTGCCAAGCGTGGAAACTACTGATAAAACTTCCTTTATGAGGAAGGCCTATGTTCAGCAGTGGACAGTTAATGGCTCAGATTATAATAATAATAAAATACTACGCTTTTGACAATGTTTAAAGAAGCGCTGTTTGTTTTTATACAACTTAGAATGGTAAACAAGCTGACGGCCCACCTTATGGAAAGTGTTAACCGTCGCCTATAGACATGAGCAGTACCATGGACATAACAGAGTATACTGGATCGCCCATGATACCCCCCCCCATGCGTTGCCATTCCTGAGGACTCAGGTGTTATTCCTCTGTACCCAGTAAATTCACGCCATATCCCACCCTTCAAACCGAAACACAGCTATGCAAACACAACTGCTTCACGGTTGAAACACGAATGGGACAGAGGTACCCAAGCAATCGACTTTTGTACAAAGTCTCCCTCTGGTAGCCATTCCTCAATCATTAAGTACCTTTAATCGCCTCTTATTACATCCACGAGAAAGAAAAGGATGGTCCATTTTATGCCGGAATCACACGGCAATTACTTATAGTAAGTTATAGTAGTTCAGTATGGAATTACACAGTCTGCGATCTTAAAACACTACCGCAGAAGTTTCCATTATTAGATTTTAAAATAATAATGTATATATATAAAAATTAATGCCACTTTTCATTGTAATTTTGTAACTCAAGAACGGGCTCACTTATCCAAACCAAATGTTTAGACTTTGTTCGGACTATTTAGTAGATGGTTTATGTGAAGTTTGCACAAAATCGGTCGACCGGTTCTTCATTTATCACATTTTTTGTAACAAATGAATTCAATAAATGGCGGATCATTTTGTTAATGGGGATTTTTGTGTCAAATTCGAACTTTTTTTAAGATGGGGATTGTGCTGTCATATTGAAACTTTTTTCAGTATTTGACAGTACAAGCATGATGTTGTGCCATTCATGCGGTCATTTTATTTTGGATATGTTTCAATTAAAGCAAATTGTCAGCGACAATTATTTGTGTTTATATTTTTAAACTTTAATATACCTTTTTTTTTATTGTTTCATTTTATAGGTAGCGAAGCACGTACCGGGCCGCTAGATATATATATAATTTAATACCTTAATTAGTTTTGACTAGCTTTTACTCGCAATTTCATCTGCATGACCTAAGTATACATACTGACTAAAATAAAAAGTAATCTCTGTACCTACTTCTCCATCTCATAAAATTCGTGTATATGTTTGTTTGGGCACCTCTATCCCATTCGTGTTTCTACCGTGAAGCAGTTGTGTTTGCATGGCTGTGTTTAGGTTTGAAGGGTGAGAAATAGCAGTGAATTTACAAGGTACAGAGAAATAACACCTGAGTCCTCAGGAATGGCAACGCATGGAGGGTATCTTGGGCGGAACAGTATACTCTGTTATGTCCATAACACTGCTCTTGTCTATAGGTGACGGTTACCACTTTCCATTAGATGAGTCGTCAGCTTCTTTGCCATTCTAAGTAGCATAAAAAAACAATATTCATAGTGTTTTTAAGCCGTTAAAGCACTAAGAGGTAACAAATGAAACAAACAAACTCACTTGCACATTTACAGAATTAAGTAAAAATATTAGTCCTACTAATAATACAAATGTGGGCATCTAGTAAAGTGATAGCCCAACTGATAGGAGGCTCTGGCATGGCGTCGAAGGTGACGATTTACGCATTTCTTCGTGATACGGGTACAAACCTCACCTGCTTTGAATTTTTCCAATCACACAATAATTAATTATTGGAACATGATTATCGTATTTAAATAATATATAATATATATTCTTTATGTAATAATCATCATCATTCATCATCATTTCAACCGTTAACTGTCCACAGTTGAACATAAGCCTTTCCCATAAGTAAAGTTTTACCAGAAGTTGCCACGCTAGGCAGGCGGATTAGCAACCGCAGTTAGGCTTTTAAAGATGTTTTAAGAGGGACTCTACTGCCCATCCTTTACCATTAGGTTCCTTTAGACGTCTTTTACAACACCCACAGGAAAAGAAGGGCTAGCTTATTCTATACTGGGACTACACGGTTATATAATAATATCCATTATTTAAAAACAAATAGTTTATTTGAATAACATACTCTTAGTTCATATCCTAAACTGACAATTAGGAAAACATCTATGTTATTGCACACAAAGTTGCAATATGTAATTGTTAAAATAAACAATAAAAAAATTCTCGGTGCATAATACCCGTTTACAAATTACAGTAATTAATGTTTAAATACCTAGTTTCCTTTATTTTCTTTTATTATTTTATGACGAGATTTCGTAGCAATTTGACAAAGGACGTTATCTTACCAATAAATATATAATATTTTATTATTCTAAATCAATATAAATACCCTTCGCTGAATATCTGAAACATAGTCCGCACGGATCGATACAACTAAGGTGAGTTTAGAGTATTAAGTATATCTATTCTTTTTAAGGTTCCGTACCAAAAAGGCACAAAGGAATCCTTATGGTGCGACTTTGTCCGTTAGTCCGTCTGTCTGTCACAGCATTATATCTCAGCAACTACTTATCTTCCTAGCATAAGTAGTTGCTGAGACTAAGTTCCAAAATAAAAACTAAAAATTTTGAAACTAAATACATTTTAAAACTGATTTTTATTTATTTTTATGCTGTGTAACTTTTTAGTTATAGTAAGATAGATTCGGAGATAAGGAAGAGAGACTTCCTTATCTCCTAAGTTTCTGATATGAAAAATCTGAAAAAAATACAATTTATAAAAGTAAATATGGATATTACAGGACAATTAACACAATATTTCTAATTAGTACCGTTTTTAAAAAATTACCCAAAAACCTCCGTAAATAAACTTAATTAGTCCAAATTTAGACAACAATTATGAAAATAATAAATTATAAATTGCAATATCAATAATAATAACTATAAAATTTCTGTTTTATATAAGAAATAAAATTAATTTTATTTCATATTCATTATTTAATAAAATATAAATAATAGTTATTCGGCGTGGATGACTTTTTATATAAATTTAGGATGTAATGTCATGATAAACATTCCTTGTTTAACTGTGAAAATGATATTGTAATATATGTTTCATTTGAATATGCTATGTTTATTTCAGCTACAAAATAAAAAAAAATGAAGACCTTCGTCGCGCTTTTTGCCCTAGTGGCAGTGGCCGTCGCTAACCCCCTGCCCTTGGTGCAGATCATCGTCAACGTTGATGCTCCCGCCAACAATAACCCTGTTTCCATAGTCGAGGAAGAACCAGTCGTGGTCGGACCAATTGTTTTGCCTACACCTACTCTGCCCGTCATCCAGCCAGAGCCTCATCCAGTGATCATAGTGGAGAACGCACCGGAAGTCGTACCTGATCCTATTATTCTCCCCGAGCCTGTCCTTCCTGAGCTAGTACCTGAGCCCATCGTACTTCCGGAGCCTACCCTTCCCGAGGTTGCCCCTGAACCTGTCGAAATCCCCCAGCCCGTCCTTCCTGAGGTTGTACCCGAACCTGTCGTACTCCCCGCGCCTGTCTTCCCCAACATTGTACCTCAACCTATCGTTCTTCCCCAGCCCATCCTTCCCGCTGTTATCGCAAATTAAATACAAAACTCAAAAACCTGCACATTATGTTATGGACTGAACCTTAAAAATACACCAAGCAATTGATCAATTTAAAATTCATTCAACTAAAGAACTTCCTCGAGCTATCTAATTAATCAGGAAGTCTGTATTTTATAATTAAATAAAAAACAGTATATTTGCAATAAAACTCTTTCTTTCATTATCTCTGAAATATAAAAAGAGCGTTTCATTCACTTATACATGTGTTATGTTATTCAAAGGGAAGTTGTTCTACTTGACCTACATTATAATGAGATATTATGTCTAAATAATCTGAGAATAATATGTTGCTAAGATTTATACCAAAGGTGACAGGAGTTCTCTGGATATTTAAAATGAAAAAAATTACTTTTTTTGGAATGTCAAAGTAACTATGTCCCACTTGACGTTAGTATCGTTGTCCAATCGTGGGAATTGCCTCCGTATCATAAACGCCAACGCGCTACTACTAGTGTCGATACTAAAGTACATATTATAAAATAATTAAATATGTCTATAATCAGAGAATCTAGTGAGAAGTATACTGACATGCCCACATTTTGCTGAGCGTATGAAAATCCAATGTGATAAATGCGAGATTTCCAAAATCGCATGAAATAATTTGTTTTTTTTATAATATTATTTTGCTTTATTTACAATGTTTTTCATTACTGGAAAATTAGTATAAAATTTAAACTTTTGATAAGTTCTTGGTGTCGACCAAATTTAAATTCATGATCTTTGAAGTGTATAAAGTCAAGATAGAGTACTAGTAGGCCGCACACCTGGTATTCACAATGGTTTCCAGAGGAAACCATGAGGACGACCCAACAAGACATATTGCTAGCAATGGCAGTGACACATTATGACGACGAATTACATTACGTATTACTAACTTCTCCCAAATAGAGACAATTAGAAAATTGTCTTATTGGACACATTCTTTTATTTACTCTATAGCAGTATTAGTTGAAATAAAATTACTTATTAGTTATATGCTAGACTATAATAGAGAAAGGATAGGTATACACAAATGAATGTATATTAAATTTTATCCTAAAGTTAAAGGTTAAAATTAATAATCCCACAATCCCCTCGATTATGATTGAATTAATTTATACCATAAAGAATACATTCACTATATCATTTAAGTGTCGAGACTGATCTTATATTCCTTTTTGGAAAATTAATCTATTGCTAGTGAAATTTTATGAACGTAAGTCAAAATTTGGCGCTTTACAAAAAAGCAATTAAAACTGTTTAAAATGTCCTTTTCTATTTTTATTGTATTAATTTGTCTAGCAATAAGATTCGATATTGGATAATTATTTAAAATCAAAATTTCTGATTAGTTCTAGCGATCTGCACTACTCTTAACAATGGAACAGAATCAAAACAAGAAAATCACACAAAAATGATTTACGCACTGTTAAAACTTCACTGACGCCATGCAACTACTTAGAAATACACAAAAACGTTTTTTTATACGAAGTGGCGTAGAATAATTGACCAAAAAAATACTAAACACCATAATAATGACAGATTGTAAGCCAAGTAAAGTTTAAAAAAGTTTGAAAATCACTACCCAGTTATACAGCAATACAGTTCATTATTTAACTTCTTTTTCTTTAAATTTTTATAGTAAGAACGTTGTCACCTCGACAATACCAATGAGGCACATTATGTCATCTATATGTTGAACTCATTAGATTTATCAGAATTAATAATAACTTTAACAAGAGTGCGTCTTTATACAAAAATAATTTGCGTGGGTAACTGTCTTTCTGCCGTCACCTGTGTTTCAGCCGTGAAGCCGCTATGCTTACATGATTGTGTTTGGATCTAAAAGATATGACAGTGAAACTACAGAGTATCACTATAACACCACAGTCCTCAGGAATAGCATAATTGAGTAAGTGAATATAACTACTTTATTTATAAATCCTTACTTTTATTAAAAATATGAAAGTTTGTTGTGTTTGTTTATTAACACTTGGCTCAGCGTGAGGATTAGTTGAATCCTCACGAAATGTCATATGCTCGGATAATACACGGACATTTTTAAAGGATGATAACAGGATTGTTAATAATGGGGTCTGATAGTCTCTTTACTTGCAATATACCCTATCAGGTATCGACGACGACGACCACATGGTTGCCCCTGGAACACATTGTGGTTAATTCGTGTGAAATTCGTCATAATGGGCTAATTGACCTGCTTTCATCCTTACGTATCATCCCTCACTGATGCCCAACGGTATACATCTATAGCGCAAGCAGGGCTACCATTCCATTCTAACTCACTAAAAAAATCCGTCCGCGTTTTTGTTATACATTGACGCCCCGTCAATGTATAATGTACTAATGAAAAATAATAGTCGAGAATGCATAGTCAGGGCATTTGGTCCATCGTAACGAATCGAACAAGGATTAACCGCGATGGTTTCCAGAGAAGGCTACGTGGAGACCTGACAGAGTATTATTAGCAATGGGACAGGGTTTGTAAATAATGGCAACTCAGTGGAGTTATTACTTACTACTACTTACACACCCTTCTCCCCTTAGTATATACATATGTTAGTATTTAGGACATAGGCAATTTTTTATTCCGATCAATCGATATATCCCGATCACGCAGAAATCGTAGATGAAGACTAGACTAAAAAGATTACGAACAAATAAAATTGATACTATTTTATACATATACTCCTAATAAAAAAACGATATGTTTTAATCGAGTAAATAACTAATTTATCATCATCATTATAGACTGAACTACGACTTATAAATGCAATAAAAAATCGTTATTGCAAATCTCGCTCTTCTTTAGTAAGAGTTGATATCATGACTAAGTTGCATTTATTTAATCAATTATTTGGAGGAACTAGTCGGATATTACCATTATCACAGATAATATATACTAGCCATTATGTAAAGATAAAATAAAAACATAATCTTTTAGTTTTCGTTTACACATCTAATTCAAATCACATTTTTTTTCACTGTTATTCTTTTCCTTCCTTCTGTAATATTTTACTGGATTTGTCATATTTCCTTGTGTGTGCTATGTATGTATTTAATATGTATTATACATATTTTTTTGTTATAATAAATAGTTTAATAAATAATATGTATTTGATATTTTTTGTGTAATTTAGGTTTTTGTATTTTATACACGTAAAAATTATTAATTAACTCTTACGCCACCTACCCACTTCTGTTCTGTTCTCTCTGTCTCCTTTAACATCTGTTCTCCTTTAACCAAAGGTTGTTTGTAAGAGATTGTCTTAGCGATAAGACAGCATTTTGTACCTTTATTATATTTTAATCTGCAATTTGTGTTATTGTATTTCACTTGAATTGTATAATTGTCATTGTATTTTTCTGTTTCTGGTGTAATAAAGAATTAAATAAATAATTACATACATTTTTTTTAAATACATATGTTTTACCCATCACACATCTGTGCAATTGTTATGTTAGTTAGTTATAGTTAGATATGTACTGAATATATGTATTTTTGGTCGGTGTACCAAGCAATAGCTACTTATAACTACTTTATTATTATGACTACTACTACTTTATTATTTTTTTCAATTTAGATTTACGCGCTTACAATTGTTTGTAAAATTAAAAAAAAAAATCTACAATATTAAGCTAGATAGTAGTTTTCATATCGCTTTACTTTTATTCAAATATGATAGATATTTGTAGTAGATAGTTAGATTACTAGATAGTTTCGTAAAAAAATAATTTTAAAGTTTGAGGTTGCAACCCATAGTTTCCAAAAACGGACACAGTTAAGGATATGATAATTGGTCAAAAATCATTTCCAATAACTAGAAATATATTAAAGGCACCGGTGTCAACAAAGACGACAGTACAGATTTCATAAGGAAACATGGCGACACCCTTTAGATTAATTAAAACTTCAAAATTGTTGAATATATATATTTATTGCTATTTACTTGTAAAATGTAACAGAAAATTATAAATTATGTAAACATATTGTATTCAAGACAGGTCATATTATGGCATCCAGTAAGACTTAGGAATGTCAAGTATCACATATTAATGCTAGTATCTTTTTACTCCAGAGTCTGTTCTCGGCACTCAAAAGCTATATCGCTTAGTTGAGGTTGTCGGGAAGGATAACAGGTTCTGGGACGATCTCAGGAACTACAGGCTCGGGGAGCACGATGGGTTCGGGGACGACCTCAGGAAGAACAGGCTGAGGCAACACGATAGGCTCAGGGAGGAGCTCAGGGAGGACGGGCTCTGGAAGTACAATAGGTTCAGGGACGAGCTCAGGAAGAACGGGCTCAGGAAGTATTATGGGGTCCGGCTGGGGTACAACCTCAGGTAAGACAGGCATAGGCGAAATGATAACATCAGGTTCGGGTACAACCTCCGGTAAGACAGGCATAGGCGAAATGATAACATCAGGTTCAGGCACGATCTCGGGCAAAACGGGCGTAGGCAAAACAATGGTTTCGGGTGGTGTATTGTCCTCGATGAGAACAGGGTTGCCGCTAGGGGGAGCCTCAACGTTCACGATGATCTGCACCAATGGCAGAGGATTGGCAGCAGCCACGGCCAAGAGGGCGAAAAGTGCGACGAAGGTCTTCATGGTTGCAAAGCTGAAATAAAAATATTCATTAGAACTATTATATATTTACTCTATAAGCACTTGATGCCCTCTAATTTGTTATATTCAGATTCATCATCATCGTTCTATTGATATGCTGTTCGCTGCTAAGCATTGACCTCCCCTATAATCTACCGTAAAGAACAGCCCTGATCCACCCGCATCCATTAACTCCCCACGCTTATTTGAGGTCGTCGGCCCTTTTGTAGGGTGATCCATGCATTTCCCTATAGGGTTCACCTCTTAAGAATCTATGGATCACTTCGAAACTACGAATCCTATCACGAAGCGAAACTCTAAGTACAGCTCGCTGGAGTAACTTAAAGGTTCCTCCAAGTTTAAATACTTACAGATTAATAATAAAAAAAAACTACTTTTTAATATAATTGCTCACCTTAGGTTCTTAGTTCGGTACAAACTATAATAACGAATAAGTTCTGCGGCGTTTTTATATTATTTTTCATGATATGAAATTTATTACATATCAAAGCTACGCTTGTTATCTGATTACTATCTAATGCGTTAATAACTTTTAATACAGAATCTTAATACCAGCCATAAATTATAAATTAACTATTTCTGATATTTATATCAATAATAATATAACGTATACGTCTTTATTATACTATCAAGAGCAGTGACGTCATAGTAAGTAAGGAATAAAATTCATTCTGAAGTAATATTTTTCAAATATTTTTGAAATGCTTAATTCAAGATTTATTCTATAAAAAAAAACAATATGTAAATTTATATTGCATTAGTAGAATTTTTTAAATTGTTTAAATTTCAATTTAGAAAAACATAACCAGCTACCAGCCTCTATAAGTGAAAATACTATACAATAATTAATTCTATAACTGAAATACAGCCATATAAACAGCAGCTTTACAGCAGAAACAGAAATACAACAATAACGGTACCCATGCAGACCAGTTACAAGTTACAGTACGAGTACATAATCAAGTGCATAAGCATTTGCAAAGTTGTTACAACTGCAATATTAGTTGGAAAGCCTGTGACGGCGCCGCGCAGGGCGGCAGCGTACGTGCAAGCCGCCTCCGTGGAAACTGTGCCATGACTACTCTCAGTAAAAGTACTTTCTTCCAGCCGCTTTCGGAAACTTGTCTAGAACAAATTTCCTCACTACAGTAACCTTGTACGATGTGACATAAGGTATTCGCCTGCATGTGCACTATAATTAGAACTCACAGGCGTTTTATAACCGTTCCAAGAAATAGCAATCGATACTGATTCACGTCACACCTCTCATAAACACCGTGGGAAATAAATAGACTCGCTATGGATGCATTCGGATCAACTTACAAAGAATAGAAATTTACATTAAACACAAGTAAATATCTCATCACTTCCGTAAAATTAATTTATATTTACCTAATATCTTCATAGATAGATATTGCAATAAACTGTTTAGCAAACTGAAATTACTGGGGATCAATTATACACGTCAGTATCGATACCGAAACAGCAAAATATAGAATCAGGTCAAACAATCTTTTTATGCATTTAGGAAGTAGACATAATTAAGAAAATAGAATAAAATCAAAACTTTAATGTGTATTTTCTTAATAGAAACATTAATTTTTTATAAAATTTCTGGGTAAATTATATTTGCCTGTATACTTTTTAATTTTCAACCGACAAAAAAATAAGAAGGTTCTCACTTTTGGTTATATCTTTGTTACCTTATGACTCCGTCAATTCTAAACTGATTTGGAAAATATTTTTTTTATCTGAGACAAATTAGTCTCATAGAAATTTTATCTAAATCATTTTATCTAACCATAATTTGTCTTGAGATCAAAATAGCTAGATTTGTCACCATAGAAATCTTTCTTTTTTTAACACAATCTTTTATCAATTACACTATTCATACAATCAATTATACTATTATGTTTTGGAATTGGTAAATGTTAAGGTTTGGGAACGATTCATGTTTAATTCAAACAATGGTCCAATACCGCTACAGATGTTTATTGTTGCATGTTTCTAGATAGATTGTTAGATTTGGGCCACATTCAGTTAGCAGTCGCAAGTCGGTTGTTGTGTTGCTATATCGGACGGAAATCAAAACATGTCACGAATACTCCTGACGAGGAGTCACGTCCTAATAAACCTATACGTAATAATTTAGGCCACACAAATAAAATTCTTGCTTTCTATTAAATAGATACTACTATATACTTTAGCCACTTAAATATTGCACATTAATGATCTGTGCAAATGAGGAACATTTTCCCGTGCACAAAATTTGTCTTTACCTCATCTTTTTTTCGAAAGAAATCTTTAAATATAGTTATCAGTTGTTTGGTACCCGCTCTGATTAATTTGGAACTAGATGGTACTGTGTAATATGGGTATACATTAAATTTATTATTTTTATTATGAAATTTGAGTGCCTTACTCCACAGCCTCACTTGTTGTTATGTGATGTCCTGAGCTACAGTGAAGTACGCAAACTTAAATAATACCTATTCACTCAAATTAAAACTGAAACAAATTATAGAGTCGGAAAAGCATTCATACCTTGATTGTTCGAATGAGAAACAAAAAATCAAAACATTTTGTGTAGATGAATGAAATAATTACTTTTTTCTATTTTTTTTTTTTTATTGTTTAATACTTTTAGTCTTAATTCTCGGGGTACATTTTAGTCCAGTTATAATAAAACATCTAAAATTGCATGCACACACATAATGCATACGTACTGTATGAATATCTAGACAAATAGAGATTTTATCTGCGAACTAAATGTCCATCGTCTCTGCTCGCCTAGTAGTTCACTGAACTGGCTGAGAGAATAGAATATTACCCATTAATAAGTAGCCATAAAATTTATGATCATTGTTAATCAACGTAGAAACATCTTTCCATTTTACTCACATATACATTATTATCTACATAAACGTATTGTAAAGAGAAAGACTTTCGCATCTAAAAGTACTGAGTAGAAATGACATCAAGTGAAACATGACGGTGTAAAATCTAGGTCATAGTTATAATATTATTTGTAGTTAATAGGAAAGCTTTTAAACGTTGAATTGTTTTTTATTATCTATTATAAAGAGTATTCAATATATAGAGTATACTCAATGTATCTATACATGTTACAATCATTACTAGAATAATCATAAATTAAACATTAAAGCTTCTAAAATATAGTAGTAACAGATTTCTTGTGATCTTTCATGTGACCAGAGGGAGACTTTGTACAAAAGTCGATTGCTTGGGTATCTCTGTCCCATTCGTGTTTCTACCGTGAAGAAGTTGTGTTTGCATGGCTGTGTTTCGGTTTGAAGGGTGGGATATGGCGTGAATTTACTGGATACAGAGGAATAACACCTGAGTCCTCAGGAATGGCAACGCATGGGGGGTATCATGGGCGAAACAGTATACTCTGTTATGTCCATGGTACTGCTAATGTCTATAGGCGACGGTTACCACTTTCCATCAGGTGGGCCGTTAGCTTATTTGCCATTCTAAGTTGTATAAAAAAAAGATCTAATATAATAAAAAACAATTTTAATGTTCATTTATAATTTAGAATTACGTAAGAATAGAAACTTTACAATAATGCTTCATTATTTCTATGTATTGAATCATAAACAAGCCCTTATATTCTTTCATACTTTATTATTCTAGTGGTTTTTTCGCGATTGAAAAATGATTAACTGTAGTTGAAATTTAATAAAAATTATTCTAGAATTTGAGTATTTTAAAATTTTTATTCACTAAGTAACCAACAGGTAAAAATATACAATAAATAGGTAGATATAGAATAGGTAAACTAAACTAATAACGCTACGTTTTGTGACGTATAGACAGTATTTAGTTGTCTTTAAAGATTATAAATAATAGATCAAATTTATGAATGGTTTTTGATAATAATAAGTAATTTCTTGGACCGCGCCCGTAGACTTGATAAGATACCTCCAAAGAATTGTTACATTTTAGATATCTAAGACACGTAGTCAATAAGGGTATAGCAAATCGCTTCGACATCATAGAGAGAACAGAGCGTTGACAGTGCAATGCAATATACTGCTCTGAAGGTTTCCTAAGTACCTTATTCATATCTTTCGATTCTCATCTTGTATGCTGTTCAGCATAATGGTTATTTTACACCCTAGATTATATGTCACATATATACACACTTATCATACCCCCATTCCTCATACTTACCATATACAAGTACTACACATCATCCTAGATTAGCAGCTCCATCAGATTGGAAATCAGCTTGTCTCTACTGAAAAGGATCACGGTTTTCTAGTGAAATCGTCATTATGGACTGACTGACATCGCTTTATCTTCCCATATTATCCTACATGCCCGCCAAAGTAATTATCAAAGTAATTCTTGTGCATCCCATGTTTTTAGATCATTTACAAATAGGCATATACAAAAAACATAAAAAAGAAAGTTTACTCAAGAAATCTTAGTTTTTATGGTTCCCAGAAAGGTTCCTGTCATTTGGAATATTGTACTAAACTAAATGTGCTTTCGGCAATTTGGCACTTTTTATGTGTCTGGAACGGGACAAAGAGTCGTTTATAACTGTTCCGAAGGGCAATAAAGCATTTTCCATTATTTCTGATCACGGCGTTTTGGTACGCACACGTGTGTAAATAGGTCGAGTGAACTTTCATTTTGCAAATTATTGTTTCCTTAGTGAAACCATTATTCTTTAATTTATTGTATCGAATATTACTATTCCACTCTTGTACAAAAAGCTGATAGGCATATTATGCATATTACAAGACATTATTAATAAACAAGTACAAGTAACATAGTTATAAAAAAATAATAATAAATTTATTTATGTCTCCTCACAAACAACTTAAATTTACACATAGATATTTAGAATATAATAAAATAAAAATAATATGGAACTCTGCTGTGAGGAGCTGGTGTCTACGAGTATAATAGGTTAAGACCTGTAGTACAGATCACCAGGCCCCCAACCGATATGTGTTTAAATAATAATTAAACAAAATGCATTCCACT